TGCTTTTCTCAAATCCTCTTCTCACAGGCAGTATGAGGTCATGCTATCGGGTTTCCGCCTGACACTTCATCTCTGCAACCAAGCCTTGTACCTGACCTTTCCCCAACTCCAAATACTGGTTTCTAAGGACTCAGTCCTGAGCCTTGTTGAGCCCTCCCTCTACAACTCTCTTGAAGATTTTGTTGTTGTTGTTGTTGTTTTGTGTTTTCGAGACAGGGTTTCTCTGTGTAACAAGAGCCCCGCCTGGCTGTCCCGAACTTCCTTGTAGACCAGGCTGGTCTCGAACTCACAGAGCTCTGCCTGCCTCTCCCTCCCAAGTGCTGGTGAAGGAATTCTAATGTATAATATTAGAGGAAATACTGGTATTAGAGAGCTTTAAACATAGAGGAGTTGAGAATATTTATATTTTGACAGGCTTTTTCTGGCTTGAGGACAGCCTGGTCTACAAAGTGAGTTCCAGGACAGACAAGGCTACCCACAGAGAAACCCTGTCTCAAAAACAAAACAATTTACATTGCCTACAAGGATGAACATGATTTGGTACTATTGTCTTTCCAGCCTAGTTTCAGATAACTCTCAACTGAACACACACACATATATATATGTATATGAACACACATGTATATATGTGTATGAATAGATGTGTATATATACATCTATATTCTTTCTTCTATGTATTATGCATGTATGTATCTCTCTCTATATATATATATTTCATCTATCTTTTATGTATGTATGTATCTCCTATAGTAAGGACTGAGCCTAGACAGCTGGGTGACTGGTTTAACACTGAGCCAATCTCAGTTCTTTCATTCATTCTTTTATTTTGACAAGGTCATGCCCCTTACCCACGCTAGTCCTGCGCTTGCTCTTTAGGCCAAGCTGGCCTGGCAATTGTGGTCTTTCTGCCTCACTGTTCTGAGAGTTGGGTTTACAGGACTTCTATCTGCCTGGCTTATACTGTTTAGATGATATCTTTCTTTCTCTGCTTCTTAAAGAGAAACCATCACTGGAGGAGCAGTGAGTTAAAGCAAGAAAATCTCCCTGATAGGCTAGGGTCAGATGAAAGGGGAGGAGGTCCTCCTATTCAGTGGACTTGGAAAGGGGCAGGGAGAAGATGGGGGAGGGTGAGATTGGGAGGGAATGAGGGAGGGGGCTAAAGCTGGGATACAAAGTGAATAAACTGTAACTAATATTAAAAAAAGAAAATCTCAAACAGCTCTTCCCTTTGTTCAAAGGCATTACACTAACATTAGATGCTAATTTATCATCTTGGACACCATCCCCCCCTCCACTTCAGAGTCAAAGGACTGCTGTCCTGTAAAGTAGCAACCTTTTATGCTCAGCAGAGACAACTGTCATCCCCACCTCTGAGAACTCACCCAGCATGAGGACTGGCAGGAAAAAAAAAAAACGCCTGCACCAGAGCTTGGTGAATAAGGATTAGGTTGAGAACATTTACTCCCTTTTAAAACACCTGCCACAGGCTGCCTGAAGCACAAAAGCAATGATCAAAGGTGTCCTTTCAATAGGAATCTATTCTAATGTGTTCTTAAATGTATTTTTACAAATGCTCAAATCACACAATCCTTATGAAACCCAAAGCAAAACACACCATCAGCTGCCACTTGGTATCAGCTGCATCAGAATCTCTGATCCTGTCTGAAAAACTCAGTCCTCAAATCTGAGCTACTTAAGATGAAAATATTACTTTCTACCATATTTAAGTGTGATGATGAGACATTCATAAAGATTTCCTGGCTTTAAAAATCTCCTTAATGAGATGTCTCTTTCTGACAATTCAATAAATATTCAATTTATGTAAATGAAACAAAGTATGAATATTTCATCATTCAAACTTGTCTTGAACTTTAGGGCTCAGTTGTGTGACTGTCTATTTCCAGTTTAACCCTTTTAAAGCATGACACCAGTTAGGTTATAATTAGAATAGGTATTTCCCACACTAGGAGACCTTTAATTGAATTTCATTTCATTTTCTCTCTCTCTCTCTCTCTTTTGCAGTTTCATTTTAAGCCAGCCTAGCCAGACTGCTGAGACATCCATTGCTTGATCCATGTGCTGCCCGTGCAGTGTGGTTAAGGCCATAGTAGGAAGCACTACAGAGCATGGACAGGGCTTGACTGTAATCACGTCAGCAACTCTGAACGATAGAGCATGAGCAAATCTCTTCAGCTGTGAACAGTCCAAAGTGACCACGAGACGCCGAAATGCCCATCACCACATTCTTCCTTTGAATACCCATGAGCTAAAATAAGGCTTCTACTTTCACTCTTAAACATATTGTCACAACTTAGGCTTGGAATCATACATGTGGCTTGCAGCTGATTCAGCCTGGTAAACTGGAGTTCTCACCTGAGGGGTACCTCCCAAAGCACCCCACAGGGACGCCAAAGCCCAAGCAGACAAATGTTTCTGCTAAACCTCTTATTGCTTTCATGAGCAATAAATTTTCATAATAAATATCAGCTACACTTTCTAAGGTATCACTACATCCCTTTACATATACACTTAAGTATGTATCATTGAGGGGTGCAGGGATGCCTGGCTATAACTCCAGCACTCGGGGAGGCAGAGGCAGGTGGATCTCTGTGAATTCAAGGCCAGCCTGGTCTACAGAGTGAGTCCAGGACAGCCCGAGCTGTTACACAGAAAAACCCTGTCTCAAAACAAACAAACAAACAAACAAAAACAAAAACAAAAAAAGTAGATGTCCACCACACACTGTCATGCTTCTTAACTTTATCAAAAGAATGGCTGTAATTATTGTACATTTGCAAGGTTTGGCAAATGTGCATGAAGTGCATTCGTGAGATGGCTTTCTGTAAAAACCCTACTTGAAAAATATAAACTTGTATTGCGTGAGGTCAGAAGAATCAGTGAATGGGCTCTTAAGGGCCCAGCTACATGTATACACCCACGAAGGGAAGTAACAAATATCCCAAGAGAATGGACCATAAAAACTGCACCAGGTGGTAGAAGCAACTTGTCCTGTACGTCAGTGCGGTGAGCATGCTGCTTTTCCGCTACTGCCTCTTAATCACACGGGCTGTGGCCTTGCTTGAGAGCTCCACAGAGCTCAGCAGGCAAAGATTCCTACCCCGGCCCTGCTTCCTGGATAAGGCGAGAGCTTGGGTTAGGATCACCGCTGGATCCACTGTTATGGGAGAGACAATCTGGCTGAGACGAGAAAGAATTTTTAAACATCGGGAATCCAGTTTTACCAAAACCAAAGGGGGTCGTGATGGGAAAGAGCCATCTGTGTCACATTTATGAAGTCAGTGTTCTAGCCATGCAACTGGCCTGTCCATGAAAGACTTCAAAGCCGGGGGGGGGGGGGTAGCTGGGACTCCTCTAGACACAATTATACACATACAGATTCAAAGTATCAACAGGGGAAGCAGGAGGAAGAAGAAGAGGAGGAAAAGGAGGGGGGGAGAGGGCTGTATAAACAGAAAGGCTCCTTACCATCCTTGACTATCTTCTAGATAATTTGAAGCTCACAACCAGCCACCAAACAAGTGCTCTACTAACTGAACCACACCCGCACTCTTTTCTTCATTTCATTTTTTCTGATGAAGCCACTGGGTCGACTCCCAACTGCTTTGGGACTATGACAAGAGATCTGAACAAAGGGCTCCAGGTACTCACATGGTGTATAGACACACACGCAGACAAAACATCCAGACACGGAAAATAAAACAAGCAAACAAATAAATAAAATAAAAATTTTACGGGTGTGTATGTACGCCGTGTGTGTGCAGCTTCCCCCAAAGACCAAAAGAGGCCATCAGATCCTTGGAGCTAGAGTCACAGGCAGGCACAGGCAACCTGACAGGGGTCCTGGGAACTGAAATCAGGGCATCTGGGAGGACAATTTATGCTCTTCAGCCCTGTTCCATCTCTCCAGCCACTGAAATTAATTTAGATGAATGTATATAACAAGAATGAGAAACCGAAGGCTGGAGAGATGGCTGAGTGGTTAAGAGCACCTGCTGCTCTTCAGGGGGACCTGAGTTTGATTCCCAGGTCAACTGCCGTAACTCCAGCCCCAGGAGATCAGACACCTTCTTTCCACTCCACACAATCATGTGGTATGTACTCACTGATACACACACACACAAACACGAAATTTTAAAATCTTTAAAAGAGCTTTCATAATCCCCTCTTTAAAAAAAAGAAAGATATGAATGGGTTGGGGGGGGTGTTTTTGTTTTAAGAATGAGAAGTCAAGGAGGTCAAGGAGCTAGCTCGGGAACTGAACATTCATGTAGAAGTGAATCCTGGCCCTGTTACTAACTGTGGTGTTCTAGCTAAGACAATCTTTGGTTTTTAGCTCCCCTGTCATACATGCATTATATTTGTTGAACCCAGCTTCGCTATACCCAGTTATGGTTATCCGGGCAATGATTTTACCTTCCTGATTATCATTACCCTCTCTTATAAAACAAGAGGTTGCATAGTGACCCCTTAGGTCTACTCTCAGTCAGCATCTGATACATTGTCAGCCCACATCTGATACATTCTCAGTCAGTGTCCCATACATTCACAGGGTCTGATACACTCTCAATCAGTCCTGTGGGACTAAGCAAGGTTACTCCAGAAGGAATGGGGCTCCTGCTTCTGCGCTGTCCTGCACTGGACGGAGATGAGCATTTAGCACTAGGAAACAACGGAGGCGTGTCAACCTTTGTTGTAAGAAGTCTTCCATGTAAAGCACAGCTCAATGTCTAGATAATCTGTCTCCTTTTGCGTTTATTGTGGGAACATTGAATTCATTTGGCTGCGGTTTGATTTTTTTTTCCCCAACATGGAAATTTGTATTCCCATGGTAAATAAAAATATAATCTGGAAGAGACACACTTGGGGTTCTGTGATGGGTCTGCAATGCCTGAGGAAGGCCGGGATACAGACCCCTTTCTCCATGATCTTCACCTCTCCTCCCATGCCACAGAAGGGGAAGACTCCCGCCGTGTGTTGGCTGCTGTTTCGGGGTACAGCCGGCACACTCTTCTACTTTCTCAGCTGTGATGTGAAGAAGCATATGTTTGTTCGTCAGGGAGGGATGTCTGCAGACACATAGTCACCCACAGACACCAAAAAAGACAGCTTTTGGCTTTGGAGGTGATTCAAACATTACCTCATCTATCTGTGGCTTATGTTACAACACAGCCCCAGGAATGCCTCAGTAATCTGCTAAGCTTCATCTGTGACCAAATTAGAGAGTTCCAGAGTCACGGGACTCCTGTTTCTGTACTGCTCTGAGAGAGATGATTCAGGTCTTCTCCCTTGCCTTCCCCCCAGGAAAAGAACAAATGTCAGAATGGTTGCACTACTAAGGTCTTAAACAGAAAAACGTTCCCAGAATGGCCTCAACAGGGTAATTTCAGACCCTGACTTTCCCATAAACACAATCGTAAATCAACAGTCTCATCCACCACTAGAGCTAAATCAACTGCCCGAGTTTATAACACCAAAATCAATGTCCCCAGAGGACATCTCCGCATACACTGTGTCCCAATTCTCTCTTTCTGTTTACTGTACATATAGACTTTTCATCTCACCAAGAATGATTCCTGGGGGGAGGAGCGGCACATCGAGGTCCTTTAAAAATCTTATATACTTACACCTGAAGAAGCTAAGCTAGAAGGAGGACCCTGGGTAAGATGCTCAATCCTCATTCAGAAAGGCAAATGGGATACATATTGGAAGAAGGTGAAAACAAGGAACAAGACAGGCCTATGAAAGACTCTACCCAGCAGGGTATTAAAGCAGATGCTGAGACTCATCTCAGCTACTTTAGGCAGAGTGCAGAGAATCTTATGAAAGAAGGGGGAGATAGAAAGACCTGAGGGGACAGGAGCTCCACAAGGATAGCAACAGAACCAAAAAATCTGGGCACATAGGTCTTTTCTGAGACTGATACTCCAACCAAGGACCATTCATGGAGATGACCTAGAACCCCTGCACAGATGTAGCCCATGGCAGCTCAGTCTTCAAGTGGATTTCCTAGTAAGGGGAACAGGGGCTGTTCTAAGTTCTGGCATGAATTCAGTGGCTGGCTTTTTTATCACCTCCCTCTGGGGGGTGGGGGCAGTCTTACCAGGCCACAGAGGAAGATAATGTAGCCAGTCCTGATGAGACCTGCTAGGCTAGGGTCAGAGGGAAGAGGAGAAGGACCTCCCCTATCAGTGGACTGGGGAAGGGGCATGGGAGGAGAAGAGGGAAGGAGGCCGGGATTGGGAGGGGATGAGGGAGGGGGCTACAGCTGGGACACAAAGTGAATAAATTGTAATAAATAAATAGATAAATAAATAAATTTTAAAGAAAAAAATCTCATACACTACAGAGCACTTCGTCAATGACTTAAGTGTTATGTGGGGAAGACGTTACGCTAGAATGACCTCACTCAATACACTGGATACTTACCAGTAAGAAGAACGCCAAATCATCTAACGTAACACCTTGTCCCTTATCTCACAATCATGAGTGTCGGAAGTCATCAGAAATAAGCTCAAGGTGACTGTGCTGCGAAGATCACAACGTGCTCCAGAAGTATTGAAACCTTTTAACTGTTTCTGAAAACCTGGTACTTTTCAATTGACAACAGAAAAGAGACTCAAAGCCAGTAGCTCATACCTAGATCCCCAGCACTTAGAACAGAGTCAATGGGGTCATGAGTTCATGACCAACCTGGACAACTCAGTGAAACCATATTTCAAAACAAACAAACACCCAAAGGAATTACATCTAAGTTATTTGAAGTAAGAAACTGCAAAAGTTGCTTAAGAAGACAAGAATCTGAGTTCTGAGGATGAGTAGAAATTAGTTTACGAATGCAACTATTTCATGAAAGGCAAACAAATCGAAATGAAGCACACCACTTCGGACGTTATATGACTTTAAACATGTTTCTGTGACTCACTCACTACAGATGAAGAAACAGATAACTACCACATATACACCACTAAATGTTTTTAGAATCAAGCTTCCCAATAGCTGTTCTTTAGGGCAAGATGAGAGATTCAATTTCCATCCAAAAATGCAGGGCCGCCTTTCATGTTTTGGACATGCTCTAGGGAGCAGAAGGTTTGATCATCAGTATGTGATGTGTTCTGTGAACAACCAAAAGCAAGGAAGACCAACGTGAGAGCCAGTGTTGAAATCCTAATAGGCTTTAAGTTCTGTCTAATATTTTACCTTTGTTGTTGGGTAAATCCTGGAGCAGGTCAGCCTGAACAGGACCAATTCCTTAGCACCTTTCTTGGACTGTTGAAAGAAGATGAAAGAAAAGCCCTGGGAGTCCCCTAGAGACCCAATGTAGCCTCACAGATTTATCACGCATTTAGGGAGTTGCCAACTTCTTTAGATTGTACCTTCTGAGTTTCTGCCGTCGCTTTCTTAGCTGTTTCACTACCATCGGCTCTCACTCGGATTACTGCAATGGCTTTTTATTTGGTTCTCATTTCACTCTACCCTCTGAACCCCGCAGTGGCCTTCCTAAAACATGAACGCGGTCACGCCATTCCCGCTTACCAACTCTCCGCAACTCTTCTTTGCCTGTCAGGCACCATCCTAGATATACAGCCTAGAGCATAAAGGTTTGATCACCTCTTCACAGCCACATTCACGGCTACCTTTCTGTCACGCTCCTCTCCGCACCTCACTCATCTCCAGCCAGCCTTCTCCCAGGGATATGATCCAGACATTTCAGGGACACATGCCACAGTCTCTCCCCAAGCTGCGATATGCCAAATGGGAACCCTCGTGCTTCTTACTGATCACTGGTCATCTGAACCTGTACAGCCTCCGGACTCTCTCAAGAAAGGCAGTCCACAACAGCTTTCCCTTCGCCGAGTGTGCAGGCTTGCACAGCACTAGTGCCTTCATTTAGCCGATGGATAAGCAGGCTCCCAGCGTTTGAAGAGCCTGAAAAGCTAACAGAGCACTGGGATGGTTCGAACTAGGGTGACCACCCTGGGCTCATCTATTTGAATGTTCGCTTCCCAGTTGGCGGACTATTTTGGAAGGATCGCGGGGGTGTGGCCTTGTTGGAGGAGGCGTGTCACTAGGGGTGGGCTTTGAGGCTTCAAAAACCCCTAGCTAAGCCATTCCCTTTCTCTGTCTGCTGCCTACCGATCCGGGATGTGAGCTCTTAGCTACTGCACCCTGCTCTGATGATCCTGGACTCTCCCTCTGACACTGGAGCAAGCCCCAATTAAATGCTTTCTTTTATGAGCTGCCTTGGTCATGGTGTCTCTTCCCAGCAATAGAAGAGTAACCAAGACAGGTGTTAACAAGTGAATAAACCAAAAAAAATTTTTTGCCAGGGCAGACTGACTCTAAAGCTAGTGTTTTAGTTGAGACCAACCCTGTAAGTCTTGGTAATTATAGCCTAACCATAATTTCACCTGCAAGAGGCAACCAGGAAGCAACATCAGGACTTCAGACTTTCACAGCCCACTGGTGCAGCCCAGAGGGTCCCTGGATTCAGGTCACTTTGGATTAGGACGGGTACCATACTTTTAGCCCAACTCCTAATACATCCCAGTATGCCATGAATGGAAAAACATGAATGATCTTCCATGATGGCAAGCTTTTCATAGTCTCACTTGGCTCCCAAATAAGGAAAGCCTTTTGTTGGCGAGAACATGGTATCTCAAGCAATTTGTCTCTAAGGGAGGGGAAAGTGCCAAAGTGAGCCTACAGGGTGCGTCTGACTCTGTGTCTAGATGAGATGGTGGGCTACAAAGTCTGCTGTGAGAACACTGCGCTTGAGTCTGGCTTTAGTGAACAACTGATGGTATCCTATAGATTTGTTTTAGTTATCTAGTACACACACACACACACACACATATACACACACACACACATTTAATTATAGCCAAAGGGAAATTACTGTAATGGTTACCTGTCTTGCAAAAGAAAAAACCATACATATGACATATAATGTAATATAGTTTTCTCTTATTACTTTTAGAATGTGATCAAAAAAAGCTGAGAACACCTGGATCAAAGGTTCTGCCACTGCCAATGGCTGCCTGGGTGGCCTTGTGCAAGCAACACTGCCAACTGTTCACTTTTTCAGTCAAAGGATTTCCTAGTCGTTGATCCATTCTTTTAATGCTAATATTCAGAGACTGCATTTGCAATTCTTGATAGGATAGTTTATCCTGACTCAAAGGAACCTACTCTACATGACCACTTTTGTACATTAAAAAAGAAAGTTTGTTTTACGTATCTAAGGTACACAACAAGTTTTGATACAACTAGTGAAACGGTTACTCTAGTCAAGAAAACGACCATGTCAATCATTTCACAGTTACCCCTTTTGGGTGACAATTGTACATGATCAATGCGCTGTGCCCTTGGATCCATGGCATTGATGCCTGGGATGGCAGCGAGCGTGGGAAGCACCAGCAAACATGAACTCGAAAAGTCGGGGTAATTAGAGGAAAGCACGTCTGCTGAGTGACAGGGAAACACACACCGAGTCACCTTAGTCGACAGGACACATGCGTACGAAAAACAGTTGGTAGGTTCTCCGAGAGTTTTGTTTACGTGAACTTAACGCCTCAAGACTTGTCACGGTAAGAGCAAACGGTGCTTGACTTTGGAGTCTGCTATCTGGGAGGTGAAAACTGTTTTAAAGGAGTAACATTCGCAGTTCGGGGTATTACTAGAACGCTTCAGAGCTCACGCTCCATCTCAAAAACACACCGCGGATAACGGAGGATTGCGGAAGCTCTTTTTTCTTTTAGTCTGCGCGGTGCTGCCTGGCATGGAAAAGTTCTTACCCAACTCCCACTGGTAAATCACAGCAAGAGGAGAGTTTAAAGACCAGCAAGGCACCGATGGAAGGAAGGTGGAGGGGTCAAAGAAAAGAGAGGGAGGGAACCGAAAGAGGAATGGCTTCAGGGCGAGGAAGCCCTGTCTGGCACAGCCCACAGGCTTGGTGGTTTTTGTTCTTGGCTCAGGGAGCTTTCTGGAAAACTCCTGTCACTCTGCAGCCCATCTCTGCAGGAGCCCCGGGCGGGGAGAAGGGCGCTGTGCAGAGCAAGCGGGAGCCCTGGAGGGGAGCTCAGCCAAGCCGTCCCCGCCTGCAGGGAAGGGCAGGTTGGAGGCGCGGTGGGAACACTCACCTTCCCTCCGGGAGGTGGCCTGGGCCGCGGGCAGCAGGAGCGCCAGGCAGCAGCTGAGCCAGAGCGCGGGCATGGCCGGGCCGAGCGCTCTCCGCCGCGGTGGCCGCCGGAGTCCTCGCCCCGCTGTGCCTTCCTCCTACCTCGATCAGGTGGTTTTATCGACTCTTCTCCCTGACTCAGTCCTGACAGGAAGAGAGCCGGTGTCTCGGGGCGTGACTCACCTGTGAACAAGGAGGACCCAGCCCTCGGAGGCAGACAAACACCCAGCAGCGCACCGGCTCGCCGCGGCCCCGGCTCCCCCCTCCGCCGCCAGGGCGCACACCTGGCCCCGCCGAGGGTGGGCGTGGTGCAGGGGCTGCGGGCCCGGGGAGCCTGCTGGAGCGCGCCACGTCCCCCCCACAGCCCTTCTCTCCCGGGGTGCTCCCGGGCAGAACTCAACGCTGGTGGATAGCGGCCGCCCCTCCTCAAAGAGATGGGGGAGCGGGGTCTCAAGGGTCAGACACACCACTCCCCTCCCCTCCCCCACCTGCCCCCAACCCCACTCTCCATCCCTATCCTCCGTGTGCTGTAAAACACAAATAAACCTGAGGGTCCCAACAGGATCCTGTTCGCTCTCGGAGAAACTTTTTTTCCCCCCTGAGAAACAGCGCATATACCCACCACTTCTTTCTATTCACACCTCATTTCCTCCGCCCTCCCACCACCACCATCACCGCCACCAGGGTGGATCAACGTCCTCGTTCCTCCGGCTGGGTCTACCTACCCCCCTCACCTTGAGCTAGCAACTCCCTAAGTCACTAACTGTTGGCAGGCCAGCGTCCCAGGAAGACTGACTAGGTTGACCCTATTATAGATGTAGTGTCTAGTTTGCAATTGATGTTTAACAAGCTCTCTGTTCATAAGGGGGGAAAAAAATAAAGGACCATGAGCCGGGCATGGTGGCGAACGCCTGTGATCCCAGCTCTCAGGGAGGCAAAGGCAGGCAGATTTTTTTTGTGAGTTCGAGGCCAGCCTGGTCTACAAAGCGAGTCCAAGTCAGACAAGGCTACACAGAGAAAACGGTCTTGGAAAAGAAAACAAAATGAAACAAAACAAAACGAAACAAACAAACAAAAAAAGGAAAAGAAAGAAAAAGGACCATGATGTCCTACTCTTTTAACATCTCACAGCATACTTCTCATGCCATTCTCTCTGGTCCCGCTGGAAAAAAAAAAAACAAAAAACTGTTAAGCAGGATGGTATCAGCCAAGCCCACGGTGCTAGTTGACCGTGAGTAACAAGTGGGGGAGGGGTACAAATCTTAGCATGTTCCGGAGACTTGTAAGC